GGGTGGGTGGGTGTGTGTGTGTGTGTGTGTGTGTGTGTATATATATATATTTTTTTTTTGTACCGGGGATCGAACTTGGGACCTTGCGCTTGTCAGGCAGGCACCAGAACCACTAAGCTAAATCCCCGGCCCAAAGGATATATTAATCTGAGTTGAAAGTTGTTTTCTTTCAGGTCTTGAAACACTCTAAACTCTCCTAGCCTTTAAAGTTTCTGTTGAAAAGTCTGCTCTATTCCTAACAGGTTCACCTTTATAAGTGATGTGTTGTTTTTCTCTGACAGTGTTTGAGATTCTGTCTTCATTTTGGATTTCTGACTATGGTAGGCCATGAGGAGCTGCTTCTCTCTTCATAATTATTTAGAGTTCGATATGCCTTACCTACATGTACTGAGTTCTTTCTCCAGACTTTGTTTTCTGCTATGATTTCTGTAAGCAGGTTTTTTTATTCCATGTGTGCTGCCCTCTAATTTTTCTTTCTAACTTCTCAGGTTAGTCTTAGCATCATCTAATAGCGATTGGATCAATTTTCCTTGCTTTCTTGGGTTTTTTTAGGTATTGCCCAGTATATCCTGTTGTGCTTCCAATCTGTCCTTGAAGCCTGACACTCTCTCCTCACATAGGTCACTTCTGCTATTCTTATATATTCAACGAATTGTTTTTTTCTCCAGAATATTCATTTGGTACCTTTTCATGGATGCTATTGCTTTGGTAAAGTTATCATTCATATATTAAATACTTTTTTCTTCCAATTTTTTATGTGACTCTTCTTTAACTACAGTGATCAATTTGTTTGTTAGTTCCTCTACCTGTCTGGTGATAATCTGAGTTCACTAATTTTTTTTGCTTCTTCTCTGATCATTTTGTACAGCTTAGGGATTTGATGTTTGACTTTCTTTCATCAGTGCCCCTTAGATCTGCTTAGGGAGAGTTAGGAGTCTTTAAGGATTTTGTTGCCTTGTTTTTTCGCGTTGCTTTTTTTGTGCTGAGGGTTAGGTTAAATATAGCGAAGAAACTGTTGCTGGCACAAAGATCTCTTTAGTTAGATTCTGTTTTCCAGTGATGTGATCTGAGCTTTAATTTATTTGTCAAGAGGTATTGTCTGCCACTTCAACCTACTTAGTTTAATTTGGGTTGGACTCAGTCATATTTCGGCTTCTAGGGTTTCCAGCAATATGCCTGTGGATCTTCTACCCCTGTAGGTCACAAGGTAACATACTATGTGGCAGAGCCTGTAAGCCTCCAAAATAGAAGAAATGGAGCCTGGCAAACAACCCTGTAGTTTGATACCAGGATGCTTAAAGAAGAGACAGGGAAGGTAGTGTCAGGAAAAGGATTTCTGTGAATTTAAAAACAAGAATGATCTAATAGCGTGGAAATGGGAGGAGCAAGAGGCAGGGAGATAAAGAACACAACAAGAAAGCACCAGTGATTCTTAGACAATGCATGAAGAATTCTGTCCAGCAGGCGTCATTCTCAGGAAGCATAACAACTTGTTTTGTTTTGTAACTTATAATTTGCTTCTAAACTCCCACTAAGATCTACATTGACAGCCTCACCAGAGACAAACCTTTCCCACATGTGGGTTTCACTGCCTTGCAGTGAATAATCTACCCCTGCATTGTCAGCAAAGGCACTAAGGTTAATCATCAGTATTTGCTAATGCGTTTGGCACCAGTGGGTGGAAAGTTCCAAAGTTAAAGAAGGGCATACTGATATTTCAAAGTGATTCAGCACACACACAAAAAGATGGCTGAAAACTGTAATTCTCAGCAACCCACCTTCAATGTTTTCACAGCAACTGTAAGGCTATACTTTTTCCAGACACCAACATAAACCTCTCCATACTGACCGCCCCCAAGTTTGTGCTTCATGGTAATATCTGTTCGTTCCATTTCCCATTTGTCATGGATGGGAGACACACCATAGACTGTTGGCTTATTACACTTGGGTGCTGGGTAGTGTAATGTTGTCACCAGCCCATCAGCCACTGTGGAATGATGGTGAACAAGCTCTGCCAAGGTGCTAAAACGGCTCTCAGCAGTCACATACACCTGATGAGAAAAGGGGGGGGGGGGAAAAAAGCTAAACAACTTGAAAAGAGATTAGGAGTTTTCAAAGAAAGGAAAAAAAAAGTCCATATTTCACTGGCCTGATGATATAAAATAGGAGGTTATCTTTTTGGTACCGGGATCGAACTCAGGTCCTTGCGCTTGCGCAGCAGGTGGCGAAACCACTGAGCTAAATCCCCGGCCCATAGGAGCTTATCTTAACTGAGATAAATAGTTAAATGACTGTGGCAAGGGGAAACACAAAACTTCAGTTTGTTTTTCGCCATACTGGGGACTGATCTGAAGTCTTTTGCTCTGAGCTACATACCCCTTTTTATTTTTTTCATTTAGAGACAGAGTCTCGTTATGTTGCTAAGCTGCCCAGGCTGGGCTTGAACTTGCAATCCTCCCTCAGCTTCCCAAGGTATTAAGCTTAAATTTTATTTAAACCACCCTTCCTATTCTTCCTAAATTAACTCAGACTTAGGGGGAAAGCTCAATGTTTCTCTGTGGATCATCAAATTCACTGGTCTCTAAGTAATTTCTTAGCAACAGGACTGTAGAATTCAAATATATAAGAAAGCTAAAAAGAGAGATGTTCTGATTAAAGTAGATGACAGGGATTGGTATACTGCTAAAGTTAATGAAATGCTACCCAAGAATCTTGCACAGAGCATATGGAGGAGGGTATTATAATTTTAATTATCTTGTAACTTAATTTAATTACAATGTGCTTTTGAATATCTAGGCTATTTTTTAAAAAGAACTACAATTGGACCATCAGAGCATTATTAACAAAATGGTTAATTTGTAATAAGCAATAAGAAGGGTAAAGTAAGACGGTAGTCTCCAGCTTTATCTTTCAAGGGAGCTTGTTGCTTTTTAAAAAGAAACTTGTTTTATTGTACACACACAAGTATACAATTCACAAATGGAGAAGTGATGATGTTTAAAAATAAACTCCGCATGTAAATATTACCCACACCAAGAATTTTAATACAACCAGCACCCCAGAAGCCCCAGCTCCCACCAGCTACTTACTCCTGCAAAGGTAACCTCTATACTAATTTTTAACACCTTAGATTAGCTTTGCTTGAACCACATGCACATGAAATCATACAATATGTATTATTTAAGATCTTCTTTCAGTCATCTTTTACTGCAATATAATTCACATATCATAAAATTCACCATTTATACAATTCAGTAGTTTTTTAGTATATCTACAAAGTTGTCCAACCATCACTATCTAAACTGCAAAATATTTTCATCACCTCAGAAAGAAAACCATACTTATCCCATCCCAAACCTCTGGCAATCACTAATCCCTTTCGATCAATCTTATATGTATGAGGTTCATCTACAGGAGGGACCAGCAAACTTCTATACAGGGAGAGAAGACACATATTATTGCCTTATGGCTATAAGGTCTCTGTTGCAACTACTCAGCTCTGCCTAGTAATAGAAAGTAGCCATAAATTTAATATATAAACAAATAGATGTGACAGTATTGCAACAAAATTTTATTTATAAAAGTAGGCAGCTGGCAGGCCATAGTTTTTCCTGTGGTGCTTTGTGTAGAACTCTATATTCATTTCTGTTGTTGTTAGAGATTCCATTTAATCAACATATCACAATTTATTAATCCATTCTACTATTCTTAGATATTTGGGTGTTTCCAATTTGGACTACCTATTGATTCTTGTACCTATCTTCTGGCACACGTGTGCTCATTTCTGTTGAAACTGCTGAGTCTCTCTTACATTATGGCTCACTGATTCTATTTGTTTGAGCCACAAGGCAACATACTATGTATGTATGCTGGTGCAAAAACAGAGAACTAATAATCTAATTATTTTCAACTTTGTACCAACAGTTATGTTTTACAGAAATAATGTCATTTAATCTTTTTAAAAAATTCTTTTATTGGTACAATGTCATTTAATCTTTACACAATACTATGAAAAGTAGGATTTCATAATAGGGAAACTGAGGCTTATGTAAGGTCACAAAGTGAATAAATGATGCTTGCTCCAAAGCCCATGCTTCCCCCCTACGATGCATACCACACAGAGGGGAAGAATGGAAAAAAAAGGACTCAACCTAAATTACTGTTCAATAGAAGAGAAACTGACACAAGCTCAGGCTTTATAATTTATAAAATATAACAGTTTCATTATAACACATTAATGCTCAGATGGTTGGTCTTCCCAACATACAAACTGCTAAATGACTAAATGATCTACTTACATGAACATAAATTAATGATCAACACCAGTCTCAAGAAGTCTAAATTATTATTCTGTGAACTTACATTAAAGCTCATTCTAATTTTCAACACAACAAGGTTAATTTAGAAATTTTACATTAATGTACTGAACATCTGAGAATTGATGATTAGAACAGCTAACTTATATAGAAGTTTCTTTCATTACCTTCAAATCTAGCTTATGTTTATTAATATACTTGTTTTTAATTTAATTATATTGTTTTTGAAAAGAACAAAGTCTCTCTAACATGACAAATAACCTGAACTCACAAAGCAAATATTTTAATTTCATATTGGACATTAAAAACTACAGTCCACTTTATCAATCTGAGTATTGTTTCTACAGAGCAGCCAGCCCACACCTAGAGGGGGTTACTGGAAAGTCTTACCTTGCCATCTGCGGTGCTATTGATCCTGTAGTGATATACACGGCCCTCGTACCTGAGCGAGATGGACAGCTGCCCAGGGCTGCTCTCACTTTCTCGCACCAGGAAACTGCCATTGATTAGGCTGCTGAGTAGATACTCTGCTGCACTGCGTGACACTGGTCCATGATACCAGGAATGCTTTTCCAGGCTATTTACTGGAGTGATGTAGTTGCTTGGCACCCAACCTTGTCCATTCTTAGAGCGAACTTCACTCCACTCACCATTCTGGTTGTAACCAAGGACTCGCAGCTTTTCACCTAGTCATGAATTCATCATAGAACGAAAGGAAAGATGTTAAGATTTTATTTCAAATGGATGCAGTGTAATGTCAAACTATAAACTCACCGAATCAAAGACTTTTACATCCCAATTTTTTTAAATGATGAAAAAACAGTTGGCTGCTCACCACATCCTGACTGATTTCTTTAGTAGCTTTAAACTGCATGGACATAGTCAGAAATGGCTTTCTGGTATTTAAGGTTTTTAAAAGTTTATATATACCATCTAAAAACTGTCCTCAGGAAACTGTATGGCATACAAAGATGACTGAAATGGCTAGATATGATAGTGCAAGAAAAATAAAATTCACATTCCCTCAAAATAGTTTATATGGTTCAGTGTTAACAACAAAAAAGGATTAGCGGACCTGGGATTCAGCTCAGTGGTTTCGCTGCCTGCTGTGCAAGCGCAAGGACCCAAGTTCAATCCCCGGAACCAAAAAAAAAGGATTAGCGATAAGACATATGAAATACAAAGTTACTTTTAAATTTCTCTTGGAACAGGCAATAAAACTATCGATGTAAACAAACAAAACCACAGACCAAAGAGTTTTCAGAAATGTTTTCTTCCGCAAGAAAAGTGTTTAGTGGAACAAGGGGTGGGCAGTGAGGACTCCTAAAACACAATCATTTCCAGGACTCGGTTTTAAAATAGTTCCAGTTTCCCAATATAGTTTTCCCTTCCCATTTTCCATAAAGAATGAATCACTCCCATCCATTCTTCTAAAATTAGTGTGTGGAAAGGGAAGCTGACTCTGAAGTTGGGAGTCCAAATCCAAAGTCACTTAGTGTATCTTTGCTGTAAACTTCAATGAGCTTGGTTTTTTTATTAAAGTTGTGAACATTAAGTTTAGATATCAATATATATTTTGCCCTTATACTTGTGGAGATTAGAAGCTTTGTGGCAAAACAAGGAAGGTGAAAGAGATATCACTAGCAATACATAAATGTTAATCTAAGGATCCTTGTAGTGCCTTAGGCTCTAATCTCTAAGAGATGCAAGTCTTCCTACAGAGCTCACACCTATTTCCTCAGTGTTAGAAAGCAAAAGAAAGCCAAATCTATCCGAAGCATATGGCCCAGAAGTTACCAGCAAAGGCTACTGAGGAAAAATTCAAAATAATTATTTAGGTAGCCATCTATCTTTTTCTAATGGCCTACAGGAATGTTTACCATAAGATAACTTTCTATCATCCTCTATTACCTCATCTGAGACATCTGGATATGAGAAAAAACACAAAAATGTGTATGTACACACATACACAAGCATATATGTAAACACATACACTGTATACAGACAGCAGTATGTGTGGCATAGTGGTGCATGCATGTGTGCGCACATGTGTGTGTGCGTGTGTACTTGCCAATTATATAGAAAATAAAAAGGGAAAAAAGGAACCTTGCCAGAAGAAATAAAATAAACTTGTTGTTCTATAGCTTTTCTGTATTGGCCTATAAGGATAAGAATTAAAGACTTAAGTTTGTGAGTATATTTTGTTTATATTGCTTTGTCTTTAAACAGAATTGATAAATACAGGCTATCATAATAAGGATATAGTCAAATATCCTAGGTTTTTGTGTGTTTTCTTTTCTTCTTGGTAGTTAGAATTTTCTACTACAGGAGGTTTTTTTTGTTTGTTGTTTTTTCTGGTACTGGAATTGAACTCAGGACCTTTCGTTTGTCAGGTAGGCATGGCCACTGAGCCACATTCCCAGCCCAGGAGTTTTTATTTTTTACTACCATGGAAATAAATTGGGCAATACCTGGTAAAGAGGCAAATGTTGGGGCTTTTGGCAGAGGAATCCTAAAAGGAACTTTCTTTTCTTTTTTAAGACAATATCTCATTATGTTGCCTATGCTGGCATCAACCTCCTGGGCTGAAGAGATCTTCCTGCCTTAGCCTCTCAAGGCACCATTGTGTCCAGCACAATTTTTCTTTTTACTTCAAGCAAAGTATCATCTTCAAATTGTTTTAATTTTAGAATATACTGTCTTTTAAAATTATAAAGTAGCTTTAGCGTGGTATCATTTTATATTAATAAGAACCCAGCATTAAAATCTGGTATTTCATGGATTTTAAGAGAACCCACTGTTGGCCATGAAATAAAGGGAATCCCAGTCCTTAAGCAGCAAGTACACTACTAGTTGCTGTAACTGGTAACTGAGAAATAACAGACTTTATTAATGTTTCCTTGGTGACTGAGCTACCTTGGAAAATACTGAAAAGAAAATTATACATAGGAAAGAATGTTCTGAATCATTGCTTTGCAAATTTCTGTGTATATACACATATTTTCACCACCTTGCCCTAAAGCTACCCAAAATCTTTAAGCAAAGCTGATACCAGAAGATAATGTACTTTTACTTTTGCTACGACTTTGAAACTCCTGACACATGCATATATGTAATCATACTCATTCAGGACATACCTACACCTCAGTTTGAGAAACTTTTAAGGCGTTCTGCTTTTGATGAATCTGACTGCTTTTAAAAGATGATGTATATAAAATTTTTATATAAAAGGTAGTATGTTCCTTAAATGGGAAGAAGCTTGTCTCCTTGATTTAAGATAACCATTACCACCTGAAACCTTGCTCCGAACCTTACATATCATCCAATTCATGTGGACAATGAGAATGACCCCATTTTCCTGTTTCTCATAAAAGTTCCACTTTTTTCATCCTTGTTCAAAAAATAATTGGTGATTTTACTTGGTCATGTTCTTAATATTCCCTTTTATAAGAATTTGCTACTGAAATAAATTACTACTCTATTACAACAGAACTCCTTTCTACTATTTCCTTCATTAACCCTTAGCAACACAAATGGTAGACATTTAGATTGTCTAGACCCGTGCCACTCAAAGGTGGTCCACAATGAGGTAAGAGCCTTGTATCACAATGTAAACATTGGGCTATTATCTTTGTGCAGAGTCATGTTCCAAAACTGAAAATGTTTGCTGAACAAAATAGTTGTGTGCTTGATGATATAGTTGGTTTATATTTGGGGTGCAAGTTCTTAATCTCACTGTGGACTTGGTAATGAACAGTTCTCATGAGCAGTCAGTCCACACATAGCACTTATGAGTAGCACTGGGGCCTGGCACTTTGACTTAAACATAGTTCAATTAGAACAGACATTTAGTAAGTCTTACCTTAGTGGTAGATGAATGCTAGCATATTATAAATAATATAGAATTCTGAGAATAGGGATTTTTTTCTAAGGTGCTTTAACTCATTTTATCCGTAATAAACCCTAAAAAGTAGAGTTATATAAAAAAAGTAGAGTTATTAGGGCAGTATCTTATACAAAGTAAAAGAATGAAACATAAGCTTCTGGGCCCAAATCACTATAATTTTAGTGGCAGAAACCAAAAGAGACCTCTTTATTTCTTAATAAATGAAAGCTAGAAAGTGAGAGGATGCCACATAGAAGCCTTACCTTTAGTAATGCTGAGTGTGTTATCACCACTTGCTACAAAATCATAAAGTGCAACAAAGAGATTAGGGTCACTCTCAGTGGCTCCAAGTAAGTTCTCCTTGGAGCTCCACCTGATGGCTTCATTCAGTGCCTGGGATTCAACATCACAACCATAGGGGCGGTGCAAAGCTTCTGAAAGACACAAAAAGGGAAAGGAATTGGTACACGCAGTATTTCAGCTGCTGGTCTATACTGACAACTCCAAAGTAGGATAGAACTGTACAGTTTATGGAGTCATGAAGAAGGAGCAAATAGCTACTGCATCTCCTAAGCATGAGGCTGCCATTTATTTGTTGAAAATATAACAAAACAGAGAAAAGACCACAAAACAAGACTTTAGTTCTGATTTACATGCATTTACTAAAATCAGACATAAATTCATAGCAAAGGTACAAGTTTCTCAAAACAAAAAAAATTTTAAAGACTACTAGCTTTATAAAACATAGGATATTTTGTTGTAAAATAAGAAATGGTTATGTTTTATAAGTATATTATAAATCCAGGCTCTATTTATATATAAAAAAATATAGAAATAGTGCTTCTGGCAAGACAATCCTAAAATTATCTGGTAAGTGAAAGAACACGCTGTGGTTTAATGCAGAATATCCTTGACACTACAAAATATCTTTTTATGTTATAATGGTTTACAATTATTCACTGTTTTAATAATTTTTTTTTAAACTGAAATTTCTTTTCCAGGGCAGATTTTTGTAAAATGTTGATAATGTAATTAGTCCTAGAAAACATTACCATCAATTGAAGGTTTGTAAGACCTATCTCTTTCTCAAAGTTTTATAGCTTCTGTATTTATTTATCCTACATAGGTAATCTCTATATCATCTTAAAGATCACCTGTTTTCCACAGCCCTAGTCAGTTATACACAAATACACTGCTCTTCCAGTAGTGATTTTCTTTTTTTTTTTTGGTACCAGGGATTGAACTCGGGACCTTACACTTGCAAGGCAGGTGGCGGCGGCACCACTGAGCTAAATCCCCGGCCCCAGTGGTGATTTTCTTGATCTTTGAGACTGTTTTTAGTGGCTGACTGCCAAAGCAAACTATCCAACTATCTATGTCACATAATATTATGCCTCTCTCCATTCATTTTTTTTTTTTTGGTACCAGGGATCAAACATGGGACCTTGCACTTGGGAGGGAGGCGCCGGAACCACTGAGCTAAATCCCTGGCACCCCCTGCATTCAATTTTAATTTAAAATTGGTTTCATCATATTTGAGGGAAAACCCCTTGAATCTGTGATTTTATTTTATGTCTATTCCCCTTCTCTATCTCTACTTTCATGCCTTAGTTCAGATCCCCAACATCTCTCACCTGGACTACTGCCTCCAGTCTTGTCTCCCTCAAATCCATCCTCCACACAGCTGGCAAAGTGATCTATTTAAGACAAAAATTTGACCACATCACTTTTCTTAAATTTTAACAGTTCATCATCAAGCTAAAGTCTCCTTATCATGGCCTTCAAGACTTTTCTTGATCAGTAAGTGAAGACCTACTTCTCCAGCTTCCCCTCTCCCTCCTCCACACCTCTTTAACACACACGATGCTGCATTCCACCTTTTGGCCTCTGTTCATGCAGTTTGGTATGCCTGGAATGGGTTGTCAGCCTCCTTTTCTTGTGACTAGCTGACTTCTCATTTCACAACACTCTGCTCCCCTAGGAATCAATAATCTCTCCCTAGGAAAGCTCATACACCCCCTCAACTGTCCTCAAAAGCCTAACACCTTTATCTACCCTCTATCAATCTGCCAAGGTAAATTATCCAATTGTCTGCGTCATATAACATTTCTCTATTATGCCTGTCTCTTTCTACTCAATTTTAATTTAAAATTTGTTTTATCATATTTGTAGAGGAAAAAAACCTTTAAATGTGTGGTTTTATTTTAAATCCTTCTCTATGTTTGTTTTTTAAACTTCACAATGTACTCCTCAGGGTAAGAACTGGATCTTTTGGGGGAAGGGGGACCAAAGATTAAATGTGTTCAGTAAGTACTGTATTAGCTGAATGAACTAACTTACCCAAAAAATATAAGTGACAGGAAACAATATGATGTATTTTAACCTTAAAAATCACATTAGCCAGTGTTTAAAAATGGGCTTCAAAGCCCGATACAGTGGAGCATGACTGTAATTCCCACTCTTAGGAGGCTAAGAGAGTAGGATCATGAGTTCAAGGCTGATGTGAGCTTCATAGTGAGACCTTGTATCTAAATACATACATACATACATACATATGTACATACATACATACATACATACACAGATTTACTTAAATTAAATTAAAATAGGGCTGGGATGTAGCTTTGTGTGAAGGCCTTGGGTTCAATCCATAGTACTGCAGGGAGAGGGCTTCATAACTATATGATATAGACAGAAAGTCTTACTGTAGGCTGAAATCTGTAAATTTCCCAATAATTTTAAGAGTTTGTTTCACTTCCCCACATGTCTCCCTGCTCTGAAAAAAAATACTGTATATGTTTAAAATTCTAGAGTTAATTAAAATTTGTTTTACATTAGACTATTAGGTTAAACTTAAAGATGTCCTGAAAAGTGAAAACAGATATGTTGCTCCTTATTTAACAGTTGAACTATATGCCCAGATAACCAATTTAGGATTACCAAATAAACAAAGTCCCATATGATAAGAAACATTCTTTAAACGGGTTCCATGTTCTGTATTCTTCTTTATTCTAAAGAAAAAATTATCAACTCTAGCAGAAGTTCCACTGGATTACAAAATGTCTTCTATTAAAATCAAAAGACTTGCCAAAAGGAAGTATAGGAAAAAAAATTCACATTTATTATGGTTCATACTAAACACCACATGATCCATGCTAATAAATGGTTTTTGCCCATGACAGAGGTAACACATTACAATGTTTTCTAATTATTACTCTGTCTAATGATTTTCAACAACTTTAAGTACATTTCATTCTTTTTAGAAGAGGAAAAAGTCTCCCATTTGAAAACATGAGAAAAAGAAAACATCAACCCTGAGGAAAACTTCTGAACTATCCATGACCAAGTTAGAGATGTTATAGTACTAAGCAGACACTGAAGCTAACCTAAACCCTTCAGGACAAAAAATAGTATACATCTTACTTGGTGAACCCAATATATTTAAATTTAGGATTTTAATTTGAGGGGAAAATCTAATGTATGTTAGGAATTGTGCTGGGCTTCAAACTTAAACCCTAATAACACTATTTGAACTTAATATGCAAAACTACTTTCCATTCTGCTACCCCTACCCCAAATCCCCTTCTGCAACAGAATTCTCCATCTAGTTAATTTCATTTTAGGTGCTGAGGCCAAATATTTTATAACCATTCATGACTCCTTTCTTGCTCTCACAAACCATCTAATCCACTCAGAACTGCTATTAGCACTGCCTTCAAAAATATATCTAAAATCTGTTCCTTTCTCTCTCATCTCCACTGCCACCACCTTGTCACCCCCATCATCTCAGACCTAAGTTATTTCACTAGGCTGCTAATTTCTATTAGTTTCTATTTCTAGACTTGCTCCCTGCTGTTTATTATCAACATATCAACCACTTTTAAAAGCCTAAGTCAGATTGTGTTACTTCTCTGCTTAAAACTCTTCAGTGACTCCCCATTTTAGAGTAAAGGCCAAAATCCTTAAAGAGCCTGCAAAGCCCTTCACAATTTGTCTTGCTCAGTTTCTCTCTTATTACTCTTCCCAGCTTACGTCATTCTGATCACTGGCCTCATTGCTATTGCTTGAACACGGCTTTTCCTTCTGCCTAAAACACTCGTCCCCATGACACTTCACTCAAATAATATTCTGACTATGGTGTTTTCTGACTACCCCTCTTTATCAAGATTTTTTTTTTTTGGTACCAGGGATTGAACTCAGGTGACTATCCTTCTTTAAAGTACATCTGTCTAAGAACACTCCCACATTCCCATGTCTCTCTTCCTGATTTTTCTCCACTGCTCCTATGATCAGCAAACATATTATTTAATTAAGTAATTAAATAATTAAATTCATGTATATTAGCTAACTCCCCACAATAGAATGTAAATTTTAGGAGGACAGGAACTCTTCTGTTTTGTTCACTAATTAGTGAACTTAATGTCTATATATGAAGCTTTTAAAAAAGATTTGTTGAGCCAGGCATAACATGCCTCCAACCCAGCTACTCAGGAGGCTAAAGAAGGTTCACAAGTTTCAGGCTATTTTAGGCAGTTCAGCAGGACTCAGCCTCAAAATAAGAAAATAAAAACAAATCAAAAAGGACTGGAGATGTAGCTCAGTGGTAGAGCACTTAGTATGCACAAAGCCCCAGGGTTCAATCCCCAGTACCACCAAACAAAATAAAAAGTTGACTGAATAAATTATGCAAACTGCCATACTCATAGAGGATGCCATGAGAGGACAGAATATGAAACAAAACTCTGGAGCCAGGATGATCAGTTATTCTGTACTGATGACTGTCAGGGTATAAGGTCATATCTGTAACATGTGGTTCAACTCTTCTGGGGAAGAACGCCAACCCAAAGGAAGACTGTTAAAGGCAGGTTAGTCCCTTAAAACCATGCTATTTGACGAAAGGAGAAAGCAGAATGAGATCCCACAGTGCAAAGTAATAAAATACAGGATAAAAATCATTTCTGAGGTAAAAGTACTAAAAGAACCACAACTTGGAAAGCAATCATTTTCATTCCCTACTCCCCTTCCTCCCTTGTCTTTCTGAGTCTGAAGATCTTCATCTTCTTTCCTTTCTTTCTTCTTTCCTCCCACTCACTGTTTTGTTCTCATAGAACTGAGGGCTAATTTCCTGTGTAATCCGTCTGCACAGGATATCCACTGAAACATTGTCCTACCCACTAGCACAAAACAAAAGAAAAACTTTTCCGAAGGAAAAAAATCCAAAATTTTTCTGAGGCCAAAAATATATACACATACTGAATCATAAAGAGTTAATTAAAGAGAGGGGAACATGCTAAGAAATAAAGACAGGAACAAGATAAAATAAAAGCCTGTGGGAAGAAGGCAAGTAAATGTCACAGTGTTACCCAGCGGGTCTAGTCTTTGCCACTTTTCTCATCAGTTACCACAGACATGTCTGGATGATTCAGATGTGCTGTGCCCCCGCCCAGAGTGTGTAGGCTGAGATTGTTTTATTTTTGAACAACATGAGAGACTACTGAGTGTTAAGATAACTTAGCAAGTTAACTAATCTTCCAATTAATCAGTCATATAAAGGTAGATCATGGACTTAAGGTGAGACAGTAGAAGACTCTGAATTTTATTTATATTTGGAAAGTACCCAGGTAGCAGAAATACTTTATGACAATTAAAGTAATTCGGTTATTTTTTCTATTGATACACTTTTAGGACACAACAAAAATAAAACTGAAGTAACAACTTGTACAAAAGTATCATGATTAAACAAATTAAAATTTAGAATCAAACTAACTAAACTTAAATTCTGAGGTAATTCTGAAACTTACTGTTTAATTTCATTAAAAATACTTTCCCCCAATTGGTCATTCAATAATTTTTATTAGTAATATTAGAAATCTGTCAGGTAGTAAATGGAGAAATTAAAATACAAAATTTTCAGTTTAGGCATTTTCAAGTATTTTATAAACTTATTTATCTTGCCAGAATTGCTTCATCTGATTATATATTCTCTAAGGAGCTAATAATTTTTAATATTACTTTAAATCTATTAGCTAGTCGGATAAATTCTTTAGTAGTTTTTGATACAGTTTAAGTTCTTCACATATATCTTAATATAAATTACATTATTTAATAAGATTCCTACTATGAAATTTTTTAAAAGGCACATAAAGCTTCACTGACCAAGAATGAAGATGATAAAACAGTAATATTAATTTTTAAGTATCTCTTCATACTTGAATATTGTGCTTATTTACCTTCCCCCCAACTATCATCTCTGAACCATACCTGTCCAGTTGGGGAGAGCAGATCCTGAGGCCTCACTGCACAAGCAGCAAAGCAATGTGTCCTGATCCCTGCCATAATTATTAGCTGGAAGCAGAACTGTACCCAGGACCATCCTTTGGCCAGAAGCACCAAAGTTAAACTGTTCTCTAAGAGGAAGTCTTAGAGTTCCACTCAGATAAGCAATAACACATGGATGTGGCATTTATTCATGTACGCAGTGGCCAGAGGGAACCAATAAAAGGATCAGCATTCACAACTCCCTAAGTGGGTGGAGAGTAACCTGATATCTGGTAACCAGTAAGACAGAATAGGAATGAGGTTACTTTAGAAGCTTTGGAATATTTTTAAAACATGTAAATAAAATTAAGACATGAGGCTATATCAAATACATATGAGTAACAGCTTAATAATAAAATACACTAAGGATCTGTATATC